CACGCGAGAACTGTCATGGCTTCTGAGGAAAACGACTGGTACGCAGTACAGTTAAGGCAACATTTTCTATAAAAAGGCACCAAAAAACGAGACACTTAAAGTTCAACTGTCTTATTTTTTTAGCATGAAACTCTATCTGAAATATCTTAATGGCTTTATGAAAAGTTTGTCCATCGCTTTTCACATCGGTATTTTTTGTCATCATGTGACCCTCTACAGTCACGTGAGCTCCGATTTTAGGTCAAAATATGAAATTTCAAATTTAACCAAAAAGTGCAAGGGCAAGGCAAACAATATTTAAATTGCACAATGTTTCATTGTGTTCCTTGGTATCTCATCTATCGAAAAACTGATGCTCATTGAGTCAGATTTCTGAGATTTTAATTTATTCATTGAAAACAAACACCAGTATTCAAAAATAGGGTATTTTTCCTCATTTAACCGGAAATTTTAAATTGCCTAATGAATTACAAAGAAATGAGCATCACTTTTTAAAAACTATACAGTAAAATAAAGAATTTAAAATAAAAACCTACTTCTTGGGTTGTCGCCTTGCCCTTGCACTTTTTGATTAAAAATTGAAATCTTAACACATTCATTCTAAATATAGTTTTCAAACGCATCATTGACCCATCATGGGAGATAACTCTGTGGTACTTAATAGAGTTTGTATACCTCGCAAATTTAAAAAAAAATAACACCTACGGACTGTTCTTGGCTTTATTTCACTAAATCAAAACGGTATGCATAAAAAAATCCTTGACTTCAATTCACTTTGTTTTGTATATCTTCGTTCTTTTATACGCTATACAAGATGTATTTGACACCTACCGCATTTCCTCCGTTCGTACACAATAGGCCTAAAATTTGCCGCAACATCCATCATGTAAATCAATTGGAAAATGTCCATGGTTAAAAATATTGAAAGATTCAATCATTTGTAATAAAAAATAGATAGCCCCTATCAATGATAAAATATTTATGCTCCCCCAGTAGACACACAACAAAAAATATCTCCAACAGATTTTTTTTTTTTTTTTTTTTTTTTTTTACATATGTTATTATTTTAGTTATCAAACCTTCAACTGTTTAGGGATTCTAGACTACGTTAAAAGTTTTAAGAACAGGAGGAAGGGATAGGGGTGCTTACTACTGTATCTAATAACCTGCGTTTTTCTTTCTACAGATCTGACCCCCCCCCCCTTTCACCAGTTTTCCTCTGGCTCCTTTGATACCATATACATGTACCTTACTTGCATGTTAAGAATAAATTATTAAACAGTGTTCACATCAGGTTTTACTTATTTGGGTATTGTAGCACAAATCACATTGGGGGGGGGGGGGGGGGGGGCTTTAATCTCATTTTTTTTTTTTGAGTTATTATCAATCCATGGCCAAACAAGATAATCATAGTAAAAACTTTGTAATACAGAAACAGATACTCTGTTAAAGAATTGAAACAGTATGAGATAAAATAATTTGAAACACAAATATTTGCTGGATGGTATTGATATTTTTTCTCTTCTCACAAATCTCTTACTTCTCTCCCCCCCCCCCCTTTTTTTTTATTTGAAAACGATCTGTACGCACCTGCGTATTTGCGTATAGGCAGCTACGCACCTGTCAGAATATGTGCAAGTAAAGATATTCAAATATTAACAGCCTTCAAACTTTCACACCATTGTACTGTTAAAAATTCAAAATTTATTTAATTAAAAACAGCTTTTCAAATTGGAAGGCAGGCTGTGAAGGGATTTCTGAGCAGGTGCAAAATATTTCAATCAGTCCACAGTTCAAACAGTTCTTCTGGATGAAATCAATTCTGGAAACAAAATGAAATTATACCATTATGGAAAGTTCATTGGGGTTTTAAAAAGGTGATACTCAAAACAATGCATTGAGTAACATGGAAAGCATATAGATGACTCTACTGTTTTTATTATCAAAACATTTCAATAATCTTGCTACATGTAGGAATATGTATGGTTTATAGCTAATATAGAGCATACCTTTTTATTTTATTGGTGCAAACACTTGCTGCCTGAATGAATTATTCAAATTGTTTGGAAGTAGCTACAAAACAATATATATGTAATGAGTGAAATACATAATGATTACTATTGTAGAATGAAATGACATTGCATTGTGCAAAACAAACCATGCTATACTATATTTTCTGAAATTCATAAAATAAATGGAAACAAACTTTTGATACAAAACTTTTCTGAGAAATTGAAACCTATGACATTTGCAAAAGTAGAATTGGTAGCTATACTTAATTCAAGTAAAAAAAAAAATTAAATCAATATACTAGAGATAACATTTAATTCTTCACCTATACACAATTTTAAAAAAAAAATTAATACTGGCATACTATAACATTAATGTGAAATGCTTTAGTGCGATCATACCCAGTGGAGAAATTGATGCATCTATTTTGATAGTTCTGGCTGATGTAAATGCTAGTTTTAACCAGTTCTGTGACAGCTACAATGATAAAAGAATTATACATATAAACACTTCATAAGTACATGTACATGTATATACATATAAGACTGACTTAATGTACATGTAGTCAGACAAATGAAAATTCAAATATTTTATCTTCATTTATGTAGAAAATCTACAAATTTACCACCTAGTGATACATGTACTACAGATGAATTTAAAATATGAACCATTGGTAAAGATTCACATATTTTTGATTGCCAGAGGTATAAATTAAAATTTATAGGGTCTTATGCTCTTGTATGTACAGTGCACATACATTGTACACTGTGCAGTTTGACTCCACAAAATATACATTGTAAGTGTGACTGCATCTAAATAATAATTTAATATACACATACCTTGTACACTGTGCAGTTTGACTCCACAAAATATACATTGTAAGTGTGACTGCATCTAAATAATAATTTAATATCATGACATGCTGTGCTTCTATTATGTTACATGTTTGTACATGTATGCCAAATGACAACATCATTGCATGTTTAAAAGTGTGCAACTTTCATCATGTGTGTGTGTGGGGGGGGGGGGGGGGGGGGGGGGCATACACACAAGGCACTGCATTACAGTTTGTGACGGACTGTAATAATATATCTTATTGTACATGTTCACAATTATTTTACACAGATGTAAAGAAAAGTATGTCTACATGTTAATACCTATGCGTATACACACCTTAATGAACAGAAAGGGACCGGACCCAGGGAGGTAGTGCGGATTGTCTCAGTTTTACATGATTTCCGGAAATAACGTCATTATCTTCTCATCAAAAAGATAAACAAGGCCCAGGTCTCTCATTTTATCCCTATTCTCTTTAAAGATTGCCTGATTGTTGCATTTATCCACTGCATATCCCAGCTGCTGTCGCCACGTTTTTAGATGTAAACAACATTCCGTGTCACCGAGTGCAAGCGCTTGGCTGAAGCCGAATGCAGCCAAACGACACAATGAAAAGAGAATTATTTCGAAGACGTGTTGTTACTATATCAGAGAAAATCACTAATGTTTATTTAATTAAACATGAAAATACCGACATTCATTACAAATTCTCGCAATCATCATTAAATATTTTTTTTGAGCTCTATTTCCTTATATAGATCTATCAAGGCGGAGCAACTGTCATGACGTCAAACCTCATTATGACCTCATTACCATATCATCTTCATGTGTAGCCTTAACTGTACTGCGTAATCACGCAGATTTATTTTACTTGGTTTTCGCTTATTAAAGGGCAATGATGTTGATAGTGAATAAAAATTCCGTCTTATTGGAAGTAAGTTGAATGCAAAAACAATTTATTTTGCCTGTAGTCGCCCCTATCTAAAAATATATTTGCACCATTACGGAGATGCAGTGGAATTGTAGCCCTCTCCTGAAAATATCAGATTAAAATAAATCGGAGAGGGCTACATTATTGCAGCTAAGTATGCTAAAACTACGGGTCTGTTTAATGCTATATATCCATCTGAGAACGTTTCACTAATATCATGAAAATAATAACCTTTTGCCGATAGAAAGCTGTAAATTCACCCCTGCTCTTGGCCACTGACCAGTAAGTGGCACATGCATCAAAAACATTTTCTCCTTTCTACCACCCACATCAAAAATGTTGAATTGTTTGAGTAATAAGTGTCAGACATTGATAAACTAAGCTTTTCCTCAAGACGTAGATGTAGATGAAATCATTGTAAACCATGAGAGATACAATGACTTTTTCACAGATAATGATATTTTACTACTAAATGTTCAAAAAATTCAGAAAGCCTGGCCCATATGAAAGTGATTTGGGAGATTTCCTTATTATTGCTTTGTGCAATTTCTTAGGCATTCCTAGATGTGTGATAACTTCCGGGACAGAAATTGAAGTAATATTTATAGAAAGTTATTATTTACATATTTTCGCCAATCCATTATTCATTGCTTATGCTTAATGTGGTCCGGACATTACAATGCTGTTACCAATTATAAACATCCACAGGTGAAAAAACATGATGCGACAGAAAGCACGCATAGTGAAAGTGTACATTTGGGGGAAGGGGAGGGGGGTTTACACATGTCGAATATCCCTGGGGAAACCCAAAACTGCTACTGCAGCAAAAAAGTTCTGCATTAAATTTTAAGAGTAACAGCTTGCGCCCGGATTTGTGTGAATATTTGTGACAACCCATATAGTGTTAAAGAAGGAAAAGACATAACATGCAGAAGAAGAAAAAGAAACCATGTTTAGTTTAAGAAGAAATCCTTCCTTCTTTCACACGATGAACGGATTTCGCAAGGCAAATGGTCAGAATTACAAACATTTCTACTATACAAAAGTCAGCTGTTCCACCAAACGAAATAAACGACCTCAAAAACGCATGGATTCTTACCATGCAGTGACTGGGCACACCGCCCACTCCAACACTGAGCTTCGTACAACATCCAACTCCTGTTCGATTTCGAGCTTATAGCAATCAACGGGGAAGAAAAGAGTACACTCGGCCCTAATGAACATGACGAAGAAGATGATTGAGATGCAGCAGACAACAGACAATGACATTGTAAACATAAAGGTTGATGCTTCCATCGGTGAAATGCTGCATATGAGGTCAAACAGTCCAGGTCAAAATAATGTTTTTTATGCGAGTACAATATTTAACAATAACAAGATGTGTTTGTGAAACAGTGACACCACCAATATATGGCGATTGTGAGTTTTTCTTCAGTAGGTTAAGGTCATTAGGTCGAAAATAATAGTACCCAATTGACCTGTTGACCTACTTATGCAAACTTTTACGGACTTTAACCTTGACTATAACTTTTGAACGACTGGTGCTAGGGCTTCTATATTTTACGTTTTTTTCCATGTGACCAGACCTTTCTTTGGGTACCAACATTTTCTACCTTGACCTTGGAATTTTACCTACTACTTTTGAAAACTTTTAATCTTGGCTATAACTTTTGAACAGCTGGTGCTAGGACTTGTATTTATCACATGTGTAATACTTTTGACAAGGACATACTTTGGGTGCCAACACGTTGGCCTTCTGACCTTGACCTTTGACTTACATTTGTCAAAACTTTAATAACCTTGCTTATAACTTTTGAACGGTTTGTGATAGGGCTTTCGTATTTCACTTATGTATTCCTTGTGACAAGATCTTCCTCTAGAGTCGCGGAGTAAGAAATTTATCCTTACGTCGCGGGTTTGAATCCTACTGTGGGATTTGGGAGACCGGTCCTTCGGGTGAGACCGTATAAACCGAGGTCCCTTGTCGCAGTAGGTGCTGGTACGAAAACGATCCCTCACTGCTCAATGGCCCTAAGTGCCGAGTATAGGTCAAAATTCGCAGCTCTCCATCGGCAAGTGGTGGCGACTCCATTTGAGTGAAAACTTCTCGAGAGGGACGTCAGAAAACAAACAATTTGTCTACTTTCACAATGAAATGAGGTTATCAAAACAGTTTGGTTATTGATTGATGGATTGTGTTGTTTTACGTCCCGTTCGAGAATTTTTCACTCATATAGAGACGTCACCATATACTGGTGGAGTGCCTCAAATTTAGACCTTTACTCGGCACTCAGGGCCATTGAGCAGTGAGGGTTCTTTATCGTGCCAGCGCCTACCGTGACACGGAGCCTCGGTTTTTAAGATCTCATCCAAACGACCCGCAACTTTCACTCCAAAATGCCGAGCGCTTGGCGAAGGAACAGTTAGTTTTTTATCGACTTAGGCTAGTCGAGGCCGTGATTCGAACACATGACCTTCCGACAGTTTGGCGAGTGACGTAATCAATAAAAGTCAATAAGTGGGCTTAAAACCGTTTGGGAATTACAGATTTATTTTCCTTTTCCGATGTGTGTGAACGGAGTATATGGACACTTTTAAATAAAAAATCATCAGAAGTATTGGCTAGTTTTGGTGGCAGAAACACGAATACGTGCTGTGGACACAGCTACTTTGATCTAAGTTTTTGAATAATGAGAACCAGAGCTCTTGATTTTAAAAACTAAAATTGTATTTATTTATATTCATTCACTTGCCCAGGTGTCTAAAATTATATGGTAAGAGAATGGACTCGTGTACCAAAATATGCATTAAATTCTCAAACTCCAGTAACGTGATTAATTCGTTGAAGCATATGGGAAAAAAGATAGATCTCGCTGTGTAGTCAACACCACCTTGTCCCCAGCTATTGGACATTTCTTACCTCCACCGCAAAAGAGTTCCGCCAGTTTATGTACCTGTAATCTTGATATGAATTATCCAGGGTCAAGGAGCGAGGGAAATTTGATAACAATTGGTCCTCATGCCTCTTAATACCGTTTTCAGCGACCCGCTCCTCATCGTTTTTGCTTCACTAAGAAAATAAAATATTTTAACAATGTGAAAGATATTGATTAAAAGAAACATCTTAAACATACAGATATCATTGGATTCTCCATTAAACAGTCTGTACCTGATGTCTCTTGAAGCCAGTTAAACTCTTTCTATTCTCAGTTTGAAATTACCTAGAAAATAAGAAACACTACACAAAGCTAAATGATAATCTAATTATTTTGAGCTCATCTGTTCTGAAAGAGTGAGATTCCCTGACTGGTTTGTCGTTGTCAATCTGCCATTTAACTTTTCACATTTTCCAGAACCACAGGGTCAATTTCCAGTGAGAAATCTGGTTCCCCTTGAAAAATTAAAAGGGCCGTATTTCCGTCAAAATCATCGAAGCAGAACGAAATGCAAACTTGGTCTGAAACTCATCAAGGTACACTTGTTTGCCGAAAATCAGCTCAATATCTGCAAGCGTTAAGAAGGAAGGGCGGAAAACTAAGTGGGACAGACAGACAAAAGCTAGGACAGACAGACGGACAGATGAGGTTTCACCGGTAGGGGACTACTAATGTCAAAATCTAATGAAGTTGGTTAAATTGATTACCTTTCTCTGGATCGAGATGCCTAGTTTACGATAAAATTGTGCAAAATTCGTCTTGGTGTCGTTAAATTAAGCCATAATTAGATGAATGCCTTGATTCTCTGTCTGGTGCCAAATAGTTTTCAACAATGGATCTAAATTCAGGTTTGTGGCAAATAGAAATGGCAGAAAAGGACAAAGAGAAGCAAATCTAAAACTCAAGCCATCAAAATGTATATTTTTCCAAAAACAAGTCAAATTCTTAGGTCACATAGTTTCTTCACTGGGTATCCAGACAGATACTGAGAAAATATCTGTCGTCAAAAACTGGCCTATTCCAAAGAATGAAAGACAAATCCGATCATTCCTCGGACTTAGTTCTTACTACAGAAGATTTGTGAAGAATTTTGCAGAGATAGCAAAGCCCCTCCATGATTTATACAAGAAAAAGACAAAGTTCTTCTGGACCCCTGAATGTCAGAATGCATTTGACACTCTCAAAACAGCTCTTACAACTTCGCCAATACTTAGGTTCCCATTACCTGGACTACCATCTACTCTAGATACCGATGCCAGTGATAAAGCTGTTGGTGCTGTTTTGTCTCAGAATCAAGAGGGCAAAGAAAGAGTAATTGCCTAAATGAGTAAAACAATAAACCACCATGAGTTGTTAGGTGTTGTCACTGCACTTCGGAAGTTTCATCCCTACCTCTATGGCCAGAAGGTTTTACATCGCACTGATAACGCTGCTGTCAGCTGGGTCAGAAGCTTGAAGAACCCCACCGGTCTAACAGTACGATGGCTTCAAGAGATCGAAACTTATGACCTTACAGTTACTCACCGCCCAGGGCGAAGTCATCAAAATGCAGACGCCTTGTCCAGAAATCCTTGCAAACCATGTCTAAGACAACAACAAAACAAAGATGACAGTGACAATAGCGATGATGAAAGATTCCCATGGAAGTGAAGGTCTTGAATCCTTGCGAACAATTAGAGTGACAACCAGAAGTAAAGAAATAGCCCAATGCCAATTCAGAAACAAAGTCATACTAGAGAGATGGGGGGGGGGGGGTGGATGTAATTCAACTGATGTAACTGGAAGACCAATCTATGGGCATGCTTTTATTAGCCTTGACAGATGGTTCTGTAAGACCAAAATGGGATGTCATATCACACAATTCCTATGCATTCAAAACCATATGGAGACTATGGGATAGACTAAAAGTCATCAATGGTCTGTTATACAGAGAGTTCCAAGATTTGGATACCAACAAGGTCATATTACAATTAGTTGTACCAAAACAGAAGAGATCAGAGGTTATTCGTTTCTTTCATGATGTTCTCAATGGAGCCCACCTTGGTGCTGTGAAGACCACGTCTCGCATAAAAAATTCATTTTACTGGCCATCAATGTCAAAAGGAATTGCAAAATATTGTAAAAAATGTAATTTATGTTCCCCTAGAAGCAGTTATTGGCAGACCTCCCAGTCGACAGATGATAGCATAGAACCAAATGAGTACAAAGATGAGCTACAAAGAACTTTGATTGATGTTCATACCCTGGCCAGGGAACATCTGAAAAAGAGGACAGAATATAATAAACGCCACTATGATCTCAAAGCGAAGAAACAACTGTTAGAAAGAGGTCAACTTGTCTGGTTGTATGATGATACCAGGAAAGTTTGGGTGTGTCCAAAACTAATTTCAAAGTGAAAGGGTCCTTACCTCATCACCAAACGAATAGATGATTTGAACTACCTCGTGCAAAGTACATTTTGGAAACCAGCAAAAGTTTATGATGTTGACAGATTAATGCCCTACAAAGGAAAAACCCTCCCCAACTGGTTTAAGAAAATTTGAAATAGAGCATAGAAGTTTCTTCAGATGTTGTTTTGTATTCCAATGTTTCAAGTTACTTTTAAAAAGTCATACTTAGATGTTTATGTAGATGATAGATGTGAGATTAGTGCACCACTGAGGCTGGGATAGAACTGGCCTGATCACCCAGAACTCTTCTCCCAAAGATGTTGATAGAGATGGTTAACAAGTCGTTTATAAGACAGTATTATAGACGTGGACCTACTACCTGGTACACATCACACATTGAATCCTATAGATGTTTGATGTCTTGTTCTAACCAGTCTCTTAGAGATTTAGATGTAGATGTTAGTACATGTAGTGGCTAACTTCAGAAGTAGAAGTATTGATTTCCTATTTAGTTTAAACACCAAAGAAACTCTTTTATAAGATAAGACGATGTAAGATGACGCATCAACTCCCCTTTAACAACCATTTAATTTGATTTTAGACTATTGTTATGGAGTGCTGGGTGTGCCAACTGAAGTTTTCCTCCAGCAGAGACCTTCAGAACCATATGATGCCTACACATGGCACTATGAGAGTTGTTTTTCCTTGGTGCCCTGACGAAAGGACGTATAAAAGAGTCACTGACCTCAGGAGCCACATCAAGTCGACACATCTTCACCAACTCGCCAAATATCCATCTGACTTGATGTCGGAAAATAATGGTGTCTGGTTTAGCCTCGACCAAGAGGGATACAGTCGTATAGTCAATGGAACAGAATGGGGAAGTACCTCTGCCACCCATGCATGCAAGAGTTTTGGTCTTAGAATGGCTTTCTATCACAAGGAGAACCACCAGAAAAAAGGATGACTGGCAGAAAGGATGGGGCAAGTTAAAGAAAATCACACATACACAGGCCCCAACCCCAGAAGCTTTATTCCAACAAGACTACGACAAGAAGCCCTAGACATGCACACTATATGTTGCACGCCCTCTGCCCCTGAGATAGAGGGGCTGGAAATACTGCACGTCTCACTGATGTTGAGGAAAATATGCTTGTTACAGGCCAGGGTAGAGAGATCTTTAAGATGAATACAAGAAATGCCATCCTCACAGACGCTAAGGGAGTAGCCAGCCTCTCAAGGAAGATGTCGGTACAGAGAGGAATGAGGCCCCTCAGGCTGACCAGACGAAGATGGTGCAATTAAGTTCACCTACCTTCCAGTCCAGATTAATGAAATTTTCTGGCCTTGACAAGACCTACTTTGACATGATACACACCATTACAGAGGCAGATGACAACAGTCCTCCCGCAAAGAAAATCAGATGTTCAAGCCCAACCCCTGCTCTCACTGCACCAGCCACAGCAGAAACTCCATCTGAGCCAGCCTCCCAATCAGAGAAAGATAGAGTCTACTAGTAATACACCCAGAGCAAGTATGTCAGAAAGGGCCCTCAACCTCCTAAAACGTGGATGTTTACCATTATTCCGTCTAGCAAGAAGGGACTAGGGCACAGAACAGATTACGCTGGAGTTGAAAGATCTCAGTATTTTATGGCCTACAAAGGACTGGCAGGGGATGTCATCTGATAGAAAGCTTTTATCTTGGGAATTCACATCCATGACCATTCAAGAGAAGATGGGCCCAACAAGGAGTTCCACTATCGAACGTGTGGATCTACTAGATAAGTTCAATTTCCTCGCACTTCCGGGCACAGTAGAGAGGATTGAGAAAAAGGAGGCAAAAATTGTTCGAAAGGCTCGATACTACATATATGAACAACCCAAGACAATAATTAGCGAAGACAATGGGGATTCGACCTGGGTAAAGATGCTCGAGATCTTGTTCTCTTAGGGACCGCTCCACTGATGACCTTCTGGCAATTATAGACTCTTAGAACATTCCCATCAGACTGCAAATCTGTAAAGACTGTTAGAGCTATTTTGAGTTGATGAAAATGTTAAATTCAGGAGAATTTTGTAATTAAGTTGTGGGGAGTGTAAAATATTGGAAAATATCAATTTATTTTATACGTAATATTGTGCAGTCGTTCAGTTCTCATACTTGTTAAATCTATGTTCATCATGTGCCTGCCAGAAAAGTTGATCGTTTACGATTTTATTGAAAATAATACGTCAGCGTATCTTGATACGATCGTAGTAATAGCTATTATCATATTTTACCTGTTGCTCCATGTAAAGTCGTAGGATTTATAATATCAGGGAAGAGGGTGGATTTTAAATTTCATGTTTTGGTAGCTATCATACTTTACTCGGATCATCACTTCCGGTTTATTGACATATTTACTATAGTAATATATGATTCAAGATTAGAATATTGAATCAGATTCTACGTTATAATTTGAGTTGTTTTGTATTTTGAGGCTATAAGTAGTTCTTTATTGTCGGCATTAAACTTAATATCAGTCAGCTTAATCGGGACTACATTTGTTTACGCTATCGTTGGTAGTTACGATATTCATACGCTACATTGTTCTGTACCTATTGTACAGCCAAGGGATGTTTTATAAACATTGAAGGTATTAATTTATTCGTCTAGTCAAGTTTATTTTATGTATTCTATTCCCAGTTGTTATTTTTACACTGTTATATTTGTTACGATATTGTACGGCAGCTTGTGTGGCAAAAGTAGTCCTGTGTGGGAACTCAGCCTCCCGTACAAGCTGTTGATTGGTTGATAGTTCGTACGGCATATTTTCATTGGATAATTTGAGTCATGTGACAGGGGATAGGGGGTTATATAAGGAAGCGCGTACTACGCTACGACAGATATCAGCTAGTTGTTTGGCGGCAACATTCGAAAGCTAGAGAAGGAAAACAAAGACGGTGAGATACTTATAATGTAAATTACACGTAATTAGCCTAATTAGAAATCTCCTACCACACTGGACGACCTAATCTTGTGTTTTTGAGGAATCAGCCATGTTTTCTTATGTTGTTATTTGTGTACTGCCTATACTGTTATGATAATGAGATGATGTACGTACAATAAATGATAAGTATGACTGATCATTCATCTTAAGTATTATTCCACCAAGTATCTATAGAGAGAGGGGCCTGGTCTATTTTACATGAGAGCCAATTAAATTGGTGCATCCTGGTAAATAGATGATTTATTAAGATGATGAAGCAATGACCTGTATATATGCTGAGGATTCAGAATTACTAGCCACCCCTTGTGTAGCTTACAAAGCTAATTGTTAGGCCATTATTTACACAACATGACAAGGAGCACACGGCGGGTGAGACCGGTCGGCAGGGTAAACTCACTCCTCCACGACACCTGATCCCACCTCTACATTCTGTGGTCCGTGTTCGCTCTGCTCCCGATTTGTATTGTTTTAATGGACTTTGAGCTTGAATACTGTTCGTTTTCTCCACATTTCAACCACTAACACACCGAAATTTGGGGACCACAATTCTTTGAATTTGCTTGTTTTTTTTCTTTTTTTTTAATAGAATTTAAAAAATCAATGAAATCATTATTTAATTTTTGATATTTTTGGAGGGGAAAATGTGTAATAGTAAACAGAAGAATTTATCGGGGAGGTAGTTGCCTGAACTGTACAATATAATGAAAGTGATTGTATTTTGTTTTTACGTCACATTCGAGAAATTTTCACTGATAGAGAGATGTCACCATATACCGATGGAGGGCTTTAAATTTAGACCTATACTCGGCACCCAGGGTCATTGAGCAGCAAGGGTTCTTCATCGTGGCAACGCCTACCCTGACAGGAGACCTCGGTTTTAAAGGTCTCATCCGTAAGACCCTTGACTTTCACTTCTAGTGCCGGGCGGTCGCCAGCGTGGC